AACCTTGCTCCAAATATGTAACTGATATATAGTACCAATGGGAATTTACTAACAATGATAAAGCAACATTTTCATGTGGGAAAAATACGTATAAAAAAACACATGATTGTGTGTTGAATTATTCATACCTTTCAAATTAACCTATTACACTTTCATACGCAAGAACACATTAGTTTTTGAATGTGACCTAGACTACCTTTCTTAAAACGAGTGAAAGTCTTTTGGAGCAATGCAATTTTTTTTAATACGTGATTAATCCAACTCCAAACTGGGGTCCTTACATTGTGAACTGATGAAAAAAAATGAAATTACAAGTCTAAATTTATTAAGTAAGATAATTATGTATATATAAATTCATTATCATGAAACCTACTAGTTTCATAGCATTAAAAGAATTGCACCTAACTTTTGGTCTTTCCCAAACTGAGAGAAAAAAATCTATGGAAATTTTGAATTAATTATGCATTCAACTTTATTTTTTCTTTTGTTTTGGGGGATGGAACCCAAGGCCTCACATATGCTAGGGGAAGTGCTGCAGCACTGGGCTACCCCAGTCCTGCATTCGGTTTCTTCATGGACACCAAAACCACTTCCCACAACAGTTAGAAAGGCAGGAATTTAAGCTCAGCTAAAATTGCCACTGGAAGTAGCCATTAATCAGACCTGATTGAATATCTAATGTGGTTCCTTGCTTACTCTTTCCTTTAGAATTGTATCATTCCTATTTGTTCTGTACCAAAAATCAAAGGATGAGTGTAGCTTTAAATGCATTTTGTTAAATGTATGGTCATCTCTTATTCATGAGATAATATTTAATTGAGTTGCTTTTAAGAGCAGTGTTTTTCTTCACATACATAGGTTTGAATGAGCATGAGCTCATTAGTTAATGGTGAAGAAGAAAAAAAACAAGGAAGCTTTTATTGAGTGTGTACTAAGTACCATGTGTCATTTGTTGGAGCGTGTATGTTATGCTAAGTGCTTCCACGCTTTCTCATGTTTCTCATGTTGTCCTCACAACATCACTATGAAGAAGTATTTGTCAACTTCAAGATACAGATGGGGAAAACGGGGTTTACAGATGTTACACAACACTCCCAAGACACACAGTTATTGTAGCACAAAGCAGGGATTCAAACCCAGGCTCTGCCTGCCAAAATACTACTGCCGCTAATTATGAATAAATAGAATTCACTGTTTATAACAGTGAGGGCTGGGACTCGGAGCACTGAGGATTAACTCCTGAGGTTTACTGCAATCGGGGATTGAGGTTAGTGACACCTGGTCACTTAGAAGATATGATTTGGGGATGTTCAAGTGGCCAAAAAAGGACTTGCATTAGAAAACATGCTGAAAAACACTAAAATAGGTCTCCAATAGCAGTGATCATGTTAGCATGACAATCTATGTGTTATATATTATAACACCCATAACACTGTGGGATTCAAACTGGATAGATGAGTGACTTTGAAAAGCTGAGCACTTTTGTGCTCTTGTTTTATGTGTTTTAAATTTTCTATATTTGAAGAAGGGTTTGGTTCCAAGGTGTTCCTTTAAATTTTGATAAATAAATGTTCTAAAGATCCTCTATGGGGATTTTTTCCCTCACATAATAAGGTTGCATGCAAAGCACGGTTTGATGCCCTGTAGCAGACCTTTCTTTTTAATGCCCACTCTGTTCGTTGCTTCCAAGTCCCAGCCTGGGATCCGCAGGTTGTGGGACAAGGATAAAGAATGTGGTGAGTATCAGGCTACAGTTCTCAATGCTCAGGGGATAAGATTTCTTATGAAAACTGGCAGCTTTTTTGTTCTTACTCAGCCTTTTTAACACACAGCCAGGTCTCTGTTTAGCTGCGCCCGCTGTGGTTGCGACTGTACAGGGCTAAATTTATGCTGCTGACAACTCCCATTGAAGTGTCACGGTGGCACAGTCAGTGGGAGTTGTGTGCATACCCACACGGCAGCCCGTGGCCCGCCGAGTGTAACAGCATCTCTGTCCTGGGAGATTATTGGTATGATATGGGCGATGCGTAATGGATAGGGCAGTCTGTGTACAAATTTCAAATAACTTGCTACACCCCTTTCGGATGGTTGCTGTCAAAAGTATTAGCACATTACACACACAACAACCACATATCATGTTACCAGTGGCCCCTGCTATTACAGAATGGCTCCTCCCACATCTCACAGTAGGTAATTGCTTGGGGGTACCTATTGAACACACACAAAGGAGAAAACAGCGGTGAATTTTATTCTTTGAGCTCAACTGTACTAATTCAGAAGGAAGAAAATACCCAATGTGTTTAAATTAGCATGGACTGAGGTTCAAAGAGATTTGCCTGTTAAAAGGTATCTCTGAAAGTTTTAAATTTTCAACCTGATGAGAACTGGATATGACACACTGAAGTGGAACCTAGGGGAGCCTTAGGTTGCTATGCACATAAATCAAGACCCACTCTGATGTCAGTAGCTTCATGGCTGGTGTTAATGAAAAGGTAGGACCATGCAGAGACTTCCATATAGTGGGGGAAGTTTTAAAACATCTATTTCTTAGCATGTGTTATTCAATGAGTCTGCCTCTGGCCTGGGGATCTACCAAAGTTTTAAATGAAATAAATATCTAAGAAGCACTAACATTCCTGTTCAGCTCTTTTTCATGATAAAAATACATGTCATCTCCTCTCAGCCTGGAATAAATACAAACTAAGCAGTGTGATTCTCCCCTTCTGAGTTTAGATTGGACCTGAGTGTGTGATTTTTCTGGTCTTCTATGCTAAATGAAGGCATGATAGATTTGCCTCAATAAAGATATTATTGATGTTATTGTTCATAGAAAGGTTAGCAGGAAAATAACCACCAGAGAGATGTTGAATCTACACAACTTCTCTTTTCAGGGTTTATTTCTCTCTCTTTAGTACTTTTACTACAGGGGATTGAACCAAGGGGTACTCTATCACTGAGCTATGTCCCCAGTCCTTTTTTAATTTTTTTTTTAAACAGGGTCTCACTAAGTTGCCTAGGCTGGCCTCTACTTGTGATCCTCCTGCCTCAGCCTCCTGAGAAGCTGAGATTATAGGCATGAGCCTGAATTCAAGATTTCTTTGTTATAATAATATTGAAAATCTGTGAGCATTAGAAACTAGAGTACTGATTATATTGTCTGCTTACATCCAGTGTTTACAACACTATGGAAACTCATTCACCTGTATTCTCAACATCTTAGCACCAAATGCCCCTGTAACTCTTTATTTTTCTATTTTTGGGGGTAGTGGATATTGAACTCAGGGGCACTTGCCCACTGAGCCACTTCCCCATCCCGATTTTGTATTTTATTTACAGACAAAGTCTCACTGAGTTGCTTAGCACCTCACTTTTGCTGAGGCTGGCTTTGAACTCCAGATCCTCCTGTCTCAGCCACTGGAGCCACTGGGATTACAGGTGTGCACCACTGTGCCCAGCCCCTGTATCTCTTTAGAGAAATAGATATGAACAACATTGTCCCCTTTCTTAAGTATCTTTTCTCAATTTATTTTATCTCTATAATAAATAATGCATGCTATATGCTAGACACTAGTTTAAGTGCTTTAAAAATATTAAATCATCAGGGCACAGTGGTACATGCCTGTAATCCCAGGGACTCAGGAGGCTGAGGCAGGAGGATCGCAAGTTCAAAATCAACTTCAGCAACGTACTGAAACCCTGTCTCAAATTAAAAATAAAAAATAAAAGGGGCTAGGAGTGTGGCTCTAATGGTTAAGTGCCTCTGGGTTCAATCCCTCATACCCATGCCCTCCAAAAATACCAAATCATCTAGCCATTAAAACAATTACATATAGTAATTACATTATCTCCATTTTACAGATGCAGAAACTGAGTCACAGATAAATTAAACAAGCCCTAGGCCATCTAACTTGTACATTGTCAAATGCAGTATTTAAACCCAAGCAAATTTCGTTCCAGAGACCCCTCTATTAACCATTACTTATGAGCTGATTGAAGAAATAAATATGCAACTATTTTCAACATAACACTAGTGACATGGAAGACCCCAGAAACCCTAGAAACCCAATATCTGCAAAATTTAGTTCAATGATTGGGAAAAACTACTTCTAAAAAGGCTGGGCAATTTGTAAAACAACAAAAGATGAGAGAGACACAGAGATTCTAAAAGCTAACAAAAAGCCAAAGCAAAATGAAATTTAATGGGGATAAACATGAGACATTCTTAAATGCATTAAATCCACTGTATAAGCCCCAGATGATTGAAGTCTGACTCAGGAGTGCAGAGCTCTTCCCTGGTGGAGGGCTTTCTTTAAGACCAGTAACAAGATACAGTGGACAGACACTGTCTATGCTGGTGACAGAACTTCTGTGTATTTTATTTATTTCAAGAGACTTTTAAAAAAAAAATTATCGTTATTTATTTTTATGTGGTGCTGAGGATTGAACCCAGCACTTCATATGTTCTAGGTGCATGCTCTACAGCTGAGCCACAACCCCAGCCCTCAAGAGACTTCTTAAGGGCTGGGGATATAGCTCAGTTGGTAGAGTGGTTGCCTCACATGCACAAGGCCCTGTGTTCAATCCCCAGCACCACAAAAAAAATAAAAAATAAAGACAGAGACTTCTTAAAAGATTCTGGAAAGCCAAGGCTAACTCAGGAAAGCAAGAGTTCCTGAGTTATATGGGAAACTGGAGAATCTCTCCAGTTAAACACCAGCAGTGGATTGGGGAGTATGACCATTATCTTCAAGTATCAGGAGGTCTGTCACAGGGTAAAGGGACAAGATTCAATTATATGTCCTCTAAGGATAGAATTTGATCTGATGGATTGATGTTCCAGAGATGTGGATTTGGGCTTCCATTTGAGGAACAAAGCTTTCCATAAACAAAGCTTTCTCCTACATAAGCAGCTTGGGGAGACTGAGCCCTTCCCCTCCATTTCTTTAGATGGGCCCTGGGCCAACTGGAGGCTTTTGCCCACACCTTCCCACACATGTTACCTGCCTTGAATCTGCAACTCCTGAAATTTCTCAGTCTTCATCTGCACTCATCTATCCATCTCCAAAACCCTGAGTTCAGCAGGAATTTGGACCAATGTTCAATTTTCCTTCCAGTAGTAGAAGTCCATGTCTTCTTGATTTTGTAATGGAGTCTTGAATTAAAAAAAAAAAAAAAAAGAAAAAGTAAACAGATTATCTCTGCTTTATTAGGTTAAGAAATGTCAGAATGCCAAGTACCCAGCCAACTTCAGAGACCGACAATGTCTGTCCTCTTACACCTAGATTCCTGCTCACATTTGAACGACTGCTTCTATACAACCAACCTTAGCATTGTTACAGAGCAACTCAGTCCTAACCTTATTCTGGAAAATTGGTCTGGTCCCCAGTGGCCACTATATCATTTAGCTGAGAGCTTACTATCATTTCTAAGTTAATTTGTGAGTTAATTGTAAATGTCAGGAAGCTCTGACATTGCAGAAAATGGTAAAAAAATTTTTAGATGAACCAGAGTCAGAAAAATCCAAAGTTGAATACAGTTGGCTTTCCAACCAGTTTTTTTTTATCAGTAAAATATGTTGATGTATGAAGGATCTGGAATGGCATCGTCTATGAGTTGCCTTAGAAGACTAAGTACATACAGGATGATTTGTTCAAAACTGAAATGCTTTCCTGCTCTGAGATTCCCACAGCACTACACTATCACAGCCTCAATTCTGTTTTCATCTAAATGACTGTCCAAGTGACAGAACTTGAAAAACAAGAATTCAGTCCTTGACTGTTGTTATTTCCAATTTGATGGTCTAACAGTTGTATTTGGTGTGGCTGAATTTTTAGACTCTGAACACATGCCATTATGAGCGCAGGTAAAATGATAATCTGTCTTTTCCACACTGCTGCATTTGGCAGCTTACTCTTCGGGAATGACTACTTTTCCCATTTCTTCTTGTTTCCTGATCTCTGTGGATATTCACCCCTTCCCCCCACCCAAAGGTCAAAGCCTTAACATCAGGATTATATTAAAGGAAAGAGAGTACTTTCAAAAAGTTCTAGAATTACCAGAGTTATGAAAAATGAAGATTGTTCCTCCTAAGAAGAGGGAGAAATCTACACCTCAGTTTCAAACAATTCAAATTTGTGAGTTTTGTCCAAATGTTCTAAACGCATTTTTTCCCCTCAACATCTGTATTTGCTGCCACCTAGGCTAATCATTGCCACCAATACAGTTCTCATGGTAGTAATGTCACTATCTACCATTTGTTACTAATACACAATGTGTTGGAAAAGGGAGTTAAATTGAAGGGGCATGGTAAGTAACCAAAAGATGACAGGCAGCCTTTATTTCCTAACTTCTCTTGCAAAAATCATTTTTGAGAAACTTTGCAAACTGAAAAACTATATCCTGACACATTTTGTAGTCAGCCAGACTCCTCTCTGCATGATAAAACCCAGGCCTCCTTTACAGAGGGTCTATGTGTTAAGTGTTTTACCTGGAAGACAATGTTCAGTTCCCTATTCATTGACATTTTTCAGGCAAGTCACAACAGGACTTTTTCACCTGCTTTTCTCTGTACTCAGACACATAGGTCAAAAGAGAAGTCAATGTTGGGCTGAAATTCCTGTAATTTACAATCCCCTGCTTGTGGACCAGAGCCAAAGGGCTCTGGGCTACAAAGTGTAAACAGACCATTGTTGCCGCCTAATCTGGGTAATTGGTCCCAAATGTTGTTGCCACTTTACAGATCGATGCTTTACATACTTTTTAAAGAATCTGGAACTTTTCTTTATTGGCAGGGAACAGTTTGCAGTGTTAATTCAGTCTTTTCATCAGCACTAAGATTCCTATAAACAGCCAGGTGATTTCATTTGGGGGCCTGTAGACACAGGATGCTCAAGGCCTCCTTTGAGAGTTCCTCTTCATTTTCTTATGTATATCCGGCTCTCATTTGGTCCCACATCCAAACCCACTGCTGTGTGTTTAATCAACATGCACAGTTTCTGAACAAACTGAGCAGACTGGGCCACCTCCTAGAGGATGTCAGCCAGATTTCAGAAGCAGGGCTATGTCTTCTTCCAGCATAATGTGTTCTTATCAGTACGATCCTTCCAGGTAATGCAGCATAATGAATTTGGAATAAAACCAGACGATGTTTTACAATATCACTTTCTGAGCACAATGGTGGGGGTGTTGTGTGGGAGTACACAGAGTACGCTTCTGGGAGGAGACCAGGATTGGGGAGGACTTAGAGGGATTTTGGCTTTCTGATCCTGGGCAGGTAACATAATGTCTGATTCTTGTTTCCATATCTGTAAGGTAGAAATAATAATACATATGCCTTACAAATATATAATGCAGATTAAATGAGATAGTAAACATAAAGGATATGGGGGCATTCCATGTATTATTATGCAAAGCTTTTTTTAAGGGGAAAGAGAGAGAGAGAATTTTTATTTTTTTTAATTTTTTATTTTTTGTAGATTGACACAACACAATGCCTTTATTTTTATATGGTACTGAGAATTGAACCTGGGTCCCCCCTGTGCTAGGTGAGCACTCTACCACTGAGCCACAATCCCAGCCCCAGCAAAGCTTTTTATTTTTATTTTTTGGACTGGGGATTGAACCCAGAGGGACTCACCACTGAGCAATATTCCTAGATTTTTTTCTTTTTTATTTTGAGACAGGGTCTCACCAAGTTGCTTAGGGCCTTGCTAGGTTGCTGAGGCTGGCCATAAACTTGCTGTTTTTCTATCTTAGCCTCCTGCATTACTGGAATTACAGGTGCACACAAACCATGCCAATTTATGCAAAGCATTTTTCAACCTTTCTTTTTTTTTTAATGGTACTGGGAATGGAACCCAGAGCCTTATGCACTCTAGTTGAGTGTTCTACCTCTGAGCTACACCCATAGCCCTAAACTATCGTTTTTAGCCTATTTCTCTGCTTCAAAGTACAACACAGGGAATGAAATTTTCTTTTCCTATGAAATCTCTGGCTATGGCTTCACTATTCTAAGAAAATATGGCTTTCTTTGTGGGTCTCTCAAGACAATGACAGACTCTTAGAGTTTACTTTAATTTGATTTGCTCTTATACCTTTCCTTTTTTGCTTCTTTTCAACCTCCCTACTGACATTTGTAGGCCCTCATTTTTCTTCTAAATATTTCTAGAACACAGTCTAGTTCTCTAGTAACTACTGCTTAGCCAATTCTACTTATTTAGTTCTTTCCATCTTTCCTTCTAAGGCAATCTCTCACCCTGTCATTACATACTTTCTTTAAATTTCACTTTGTTCCCCTCTGCCTTGCACACTGAGGCATCCTACATATAATGTAGTTTTCTAAGTGGAGGTTTGGGAAACCAATTCCCCACCTACTTCTGGGATAAGAAAATTGGCTTTTCCCCATAAATTTCCTACTGCCCTCAAAAGTCAAAAAGAAGGGAAGACTTCCCTTCCATTCATAGTCTGCTGCAGTTCATTTTCCAAACAACACTATAACTGTATGTTCCCTTGAGAAGCAATATAGCACCAGACCTAAGGGTGCAGACTCCAAAACAAGTGGTTGTGGGAGTCAGATCACTTTGACAAGCAGTGTGACTTTGGGGCAAGTTATGTGACTTTCCTCTGCCTGGTGTTTTTCATCTGGAGAATAGAAATAATAGTGTTTGCCAGGGATTGCGATAGAAAACTAAATTAATATACGTGAAACACTTAGAACAGTGCTCAAGAATACTAAGCACCTTACAAATGTTAGTTCTTCATCCATGTTCTCCTTTAAAAAGAAATTATGCATATTTGGCAATTCAAAGACTGCCAGTTTCCCTGCTCTGATCTTCTGTTTGTTGTCATCTTTCCAGACATCACTAAAAATTTGTCTCATTATACTGCTCTTCCCTAATACAGAACATGACAGGAAATATGAAATAAAATAAAACAACAATTCCAAAAATATCTTCTAGTTCCCTCTCCTCTAACCCATCATCCATTCATCATTAGCTAAAATAGGATGAATGTTTTGTTATGAACCTAAAATGGAACCATAGTTTACCCCAAAGTTAGCGAGTCTAGTTTAGGGTTTAGGAAAACCTGGTTTAAATTTTAGTGAACCTCTTTTCTACCTTCAAATGCCAACAAAAGATTTATAGCTTCAGGTGGATACCAAATGAAATTGAGTAAGTTCATCTGAGTTTTACTTTAAGTTTTTTATTTGAATGAACTCAAATTTCATACAACCTAATCCTTATATTTACAGTTTTTCTACATTTTTACCTCAGTTGACAAGACATATTAAGTAAAAATTCAGACAGGCTGTTCAGTCTCTGAACAAATTGCAATATTATAGAATGCATGTATTCCTTTGTCTCAATAATAAATAAAATTTCACATTTATTATTAGAAGAACATCATATTTTTGGTAACACATGCTTTAATGAGAAAGCAATTTTTACAGAATATTCCTCTTTATTTACTACTGTGTTTATTTGCCACAAAATTCCAAATTATTTAGATGATGATTAGCAAAATGATCTATTTCTGTCAATATGTAAAATTCTGTATCACATCATCCTCTTATCCCTGGCTCAGTTAAACTGTGATTTTAAAATCAAATGTGTATAATGTAAGCTTTCCCCAATTTTTCATTTTATCCCCCAGATGTCAGAAGCCCAGACTTTAAGCAAGTCAATTTCCTCAAATTATATGCTAGAGGTTTGGGCAGACTTAAGGATAGATCTTTTATATCAAAATGATAGGTTCACAGTTAGTGATTGATGATCTTGTACATATAAATGATAACTGCCCATTAGATAAAAGGGCCTTCTGGGATGAGAAGATTAGGCAAAAGTAAACTTGGATAAATTTCTAAATCTTAATTTTTGCAGAGATATGAGAAACATACTTGGCAGTTTCTGTGTTATTATAAAACCAAATAATCTTAAATAACATATATGAAAATCCTGTCAATGAACTCTGAAAAGATTATTTGCCTAAAATCCATTTTTCCCTTCAAGAATTAAATGAAAGCTTTTCAGTAACATTACTCAGAACAACCACTGTTAATTTAATGAAACAAAATTATTCTGAGATATTTTTTTTTCTTAAGAAAAGTAACCATAAGCCAGGTATGGTGGCCCACTCCTATAATCCCAGCTACTT